GGGGGGGTAGGGGGGTTTCTCGGGGCGTGCGGCCGGAGGACTCCTCCGGGGGGTGGTCTACTATTGATGTTATTTCGGGGCTTGTCATTTTTTATATATTAAAAAAAAATGTATATTTTAGTTCTTATATTTTCAATTTATTTAGAGAGTTAATGTTTTTGAAAAAAATAAAACCTTTTTAATGAGTAAATTAATTTTGAAATTCTTTCAATTAATAAAGATAATATGGTAAAATTTACGCGTGAAATCTTCAATATATTTGAAATAAAATTATATATTTTTGTAAACTACATAAAAATATTGTACATTACAATAATTAAATAAAATAATTAAAAAAATATGATAAAAATAAATTCGTTTAAATCTCAATATTTAAAAAATGGCATATACATTAAAACAATAAAATTAATAAAATATGAGAGACTTTTACCCTTTGTCTTTTACTAGTAAATACTCTCGAATAGATCATGTCAAATATTTTTCATCCTATGTGATATCGGAACAAGGAGTAATGTTTCTTTGAATTTTCTTAGTAACACAATCCCTAGTGTGTAATACCAGAATTTCAGGTTCATTAATTACTCCGTCAATAAAGGCCACTTGGTCAAACTACAAGACTTTCAAACTTGTGGACTCTTTTTAACTTGATTGTGCTAAATGAGTATAAAAAATTGATATAAAAAGTATAATATTTTTTTATTTTAAAATAAATTAATTATAATTTAAAAATATTAAATTAAAAACACATAAATATTCAGAATAAATTAATTTACGGTGTGAATATGTTATTTTCATCGTTGTAGCCAAGTTTTCGGTCAGAGGGATTTTTCCTTCAAACTTCTTAGATTGTTCCCATATCACCCTTCAAAGTCAAATCCCTATTTTACCCCTCTTTCTGAACCATCAAACACATGCACAACATGGGCTTTTTTGGAATTCAAAACATGATTTACATGCATGACCTTTTCTTGTTTACTTGTTCAAACACATGATACATAAAATTCAATTCAACAAAAACACTAGTAGTATTATCTAATATTCAAAGTTAAACAAAACACACCTCATTCAAATTGTTATAAATACCAAAACTCATCAATAACATTCTTCATCCACATTCATTAGCCATATTTCCCATAGCTAACTAGAGAAGAAATCGCGAAATAAGAGAGAAATACTTGGAATATTTCGAGTTGTAATCTTACTTGTTTGAAGATGACTTGTCGAAGAATAATTACTTCGTTTATAATTCTTGCCATGTTTGTTGCTATAACAAGTACTCAAAACCATGTTGAGGCAGCTAGAGTATTGTCACAAGATTTTTCTGGTGAAAAAATTCATCTGGCAACATTGCCATCGATTTATGAGAAGGCGAAGAACAATTTGTCATTTTTGCTTGAGAGATTACCTTCAGGACCTAGCCCTAAAGGACCTGGTCATTAAGACAAGGAAATGCAAAGTTCTTAAAAATGGCTGAAAAGAGCCAGTAAATTTTTTATTATTATTATTATTTTACCCTCCATAGGAGCTCCCGCCCTTATTGCTCCACTCAGACTCGCAACCTTCAAGTTAAAAATAATGGATGCTTACCATCCGAGCAACTCGTCAAGAAGCCACTAGCATTGCTTATAACATTTTTTCTCCCTTTTTTCTTTTTCTTTCTTTTGACTAGATATAGGAAATACAGGATATTTCTTCTTTTATTTATTATTATATTTATATATACCTCATTTATCAATTCATCTTGTTTGTTTATTTTAAATCATTTTTTGGTGAAAGATCAAATGAATATGGTTTACCACTTTCTTACTATAGTTATGTTTAATTTAACATATAAGTGTTTAAGAGCTAATTATATTACTATATCTGTATCAATTTATATGATAATGTATTTATTTGAATATAAAATTTAAAAAAATTAATAAAGACTTGATCTTTATAAAATATTTATCATTTTATGATAAATCGAAAACTATAATGAATTTTTGGTGTGTTGTTTTATCTCAAACAACTTCATCATTGGATTGTTATCGTGGAAACGATTCACTATTTTTTCACAACAATCATGTGAAGCGTAAATTTATTTATTAGTGTTGAAATTTTAATAATTAACACATCTAGAAAGTAAATATGATCTTGAATCCCAGAAATTTAGCTAGTTGAAATTTCTCTTAAAATCGTTCAGAAGTTCAATATATTGGGCTAGAGCTAATGAGGATTATTTAAAAAACTTTTAGCTAAAGCTATTGTTTAAAAAAATAAAATAAAATATATTCGCATTAAAAATTAATATTTTAATGACTATTTTTGTAATTATAGGTTTATAAGGCGGCTATCCCATGTTATTTTTGTCATCGAAAGTAGCTGATTTTGAACTTTTTGATTCTGTTTATCCATGTGTAGATTTGACTTCAAAGATTTATCCATGAAATAATGAAGAATAAAAAATTTAAGATGACTCATTTTCAAGATTGTTCGAGATAATTTCTTATCAATATCACTCATTTTTAAGATTATTGAATGTAATTTTCAGTTAGCAATGTATGTGCTTCTAGTTTTAAGGGAGTATAACTTATTTATATTGGGTGTTTAACTTATTCATATTCGGTGTTTACATCAATTTAATATATGTATATCACGTGTTTAAATTTATTTAATTAATTTTAATTTATTAACATGTATTTTATTTTATTAAATTACATATAATAAAAATGGAAAAGAGTTAAAAATATCCTTAAACTATCTGAAATAGCTCAGATATATCTAATATTTTGACTCAAAACTACCCTTCCTATCAAACTATTGGGTCAAAAGTGCCCTTCTAATTAACAGAAATTGTTAAATGCCATGTGGATGGCACCTCAATAGATTTCCACTGCCACATAGACTAAAAGGAAAAGGGTCAAAAGTACCCCTAAAATATCCGAAATAGCTCATATTTACCCTTAAATTATATTTCGGCTCAAAACTACCTTTTTTGTCAAACTATTGGATCAAAAGTGACCTTATTGGCGAACGTTGTTGAATTCCACATGTGCCACATTGACTAAATTCCTAAATCTTAATTACTCATTTTTCCGCCTCATTTCATTTTTTTCAGAAACGATTTCACCCCTTCTCCCTCAATTCGCGGCTAAGATTTCACAGTTTTCTTCATTGCTTGGTTCCAAAGTAGATATTCGTGGTTATAGGTTAGTAAACTTTTCTCTTTTTTTATTGTGTTTACAACCACGAAAATCCACTTTGAAACTCAGCTCCAAAAAAAATTATGAAACCTTGGCCGCAAAATGACGAAAAAGTCGTGAAATTCTAACTATCATACTTTGAAATCGTTAACGTAATAAAATAAAATAAAATATTTACTAACCTACAACTATGAATATCCACTTTGAAACTTAGCCCCGAAGAAAACTACGAAGTCTTAGCTGCAAAAATAGGGAAAAGTTGTGAAATCCTAACTATCATGCTTTGAAATCGTAAACATAATAAAATAAGAAAAAATATTTACTAGCCTACCAGCAAGAATATCCACTTTGAAACCCTAGCCACGAAATGAGGGAGAATGGGTGGATATATCATTTCTGAAATAACAAAATGAGGGGGGAAGTAATTACGATTTAGGAATTTAGTCTATGTAATAGTGGAACCTTATTGACATGCAATGTGACATCCACGTGACATTTAACAACTTCTGTTGATAAGAAAGATATTTTTGATTCAATAGTTTGATGGGAGGGTAATTATAAACTAAAATATAGTTTAAGAGTAAATATGAGCTATTTCGTATAGTTTAAGAGTATTTTTGACCCTTTCCATTTAGTGTATGTGCCAGAGGAATTCTATTGGCATGCAATATGACATCCATATGACAACAAAAATTTAAGAGTATATATGAACTATTTCGAAGATATTTTTAAACCTTTTCCGTGATAAAAATTACATTAATTTGGTTTAAATAACCAATCGGATAAGTTTTTAGTTGCGTAAACTGTAAAATTTACATGAGCTCACAAGCCCATAAGCGAGCTGTCATAAGGACGGCCCATGACAGCTCGTTTTCCTCTTGTCGAACATTTTTTCACCTTGGAGGCCTCGCCCAGCAGATAACAACTCCTCTTCACACTCCCCACTCTCTGTTACAGTCACTATGCTCTTCAATTAGGTATCGAATCCTTCTTATTTTTTGGTTAAGTTTTGATTATTTTTTTTGTATTTGTGTTTTTGTGGAAGTAATTATTTTAAGAAGCATAAATTAGTGCAATATCCATTTTAAGTCATGGTTGAATTTGGTGATGATTATGCGTTTTCTCAAAAAAAAAAAAAGTCACAGTCATGAAAAAACTGATAGTCGTGAAGTAAAGTTTAGTTAAATCAGTGAACATATTTTTGGGTGTCAAATTTAAGTTTTTGTTGATTTGATTAAGAGAAGTTCACTTTTTGATTTCGTTGTTTTTTTCTCATAAGCAGTTGGATTATAAATGTCTATTTTGATTCAGTTGGACCTGGTTGTTGATATTGCTTCTTGTTGGTTTTGTGCATCCTAATGTACTGTATTTTCTTTTGTAATGTCCAAACCATGAAGTTATTTCAAGTATGCTTTTTTCTACATTTGACAAATAAACTTAGTGTTTCTGGCCTTGTTTTGTTTTTGAAGTTTTTCTTGCGTCGTCATTCAATTTTTCATCAATCTTGTAGAAACAATACTGCCTCAGTGACAGTAACATAAACATTTATTCACATCACCAAACGACCCCAAAGTGATATGGATCAATAATTAGGACAGTATTGTTATATCCTGCGTTTCTTGAAATAGTTCTTCCCTTAATCGTAGGGAAAAGGTTGAATGTGAAACCGCTCTCTTTAATGGACAATGGTAGCGTTGGTACACTTATTGGTATGATACTAGTATTTTTACCCAAACTTGCAAATGACTGTAGTTTATACATTTTGTAAATCCCGAGGCTGCTGTTAGTGAAAACATTATGAATGGGTTTGTCTTGGTCATCAGTTCATAAAGTTTTACTACATGGATACATAAATCTCTTCGTATGAATAATTACAAACTTCCAACTTTTGAATTTGATAGTTAATCATGTGTATATGTATTTTCTTCGTTTAAAATTTACATTGAAATGTTTGATTCAGATAGTTCTTTGCGGAGTTTAAGGAGATTCTTCTGTTTTCATCTTGGTCTTTAACCTGCAGTCCAGTGTATTTACGGTGCTATGTGCTTTTCTTATTTGTAGATCTTCTCGAAGGACTTGAATATGATCCTGAATGGACGCTACTTGAGTTCTGGGAGTATTTGTAAACCTTACAAAGCATGTAACTCCAAGTCCTACCGATCTGCATCATCATGCACCCCTCTGCCGCTTTCCAAGGTTATAGTCACATGTGTTAAACGTTCACCAGCACCTCATCAGTATCCAACATCCTGCTCCAAAGGTGTGTGAAATCTTGATGGTGATCTTTTTGCATGCCATTATTTTCTTTCTGCATTTTTATGTTAGTTCTGCTTAGCCCCATATGTTTTCAGTTAATGGATGTTTGAATTTGAATATTTTAGGTTTCAGTCCACTAAGTGTACAAATGCACTTTTTTTTCTTTTATTAAAGCTCATTTGTTCTTAATAGGTCTTGTTCATTCTGATCTTGTACATAGTTTTGAAATCATTAAACTATTGTTCAATTAAGATTCCTGTAAACATAACATTTTATCGCTGTTGCTTTCTCCTCTTCCTTTTAATCCCAACAACTTGTCTTTATTTTTAAAATTGCA